AATATTAAATAATATATCTTATATGTAATAAAATATATATTGTGTTATAATATTGTAAATTAATTATAATTTAGTATTTACATATAATATAATATAGATATGATATATAATAATATAAAATATCTACCGCTTAATAATTTAATAACATTATATTCTATATCAAAAATTATTTTGTCACAAAAAATCATTTACATTATTATTTAATATAATATATATTAAAATATATTTTTATCAAATAAAAAATAATATACAATATTTAATTTATTCAATATTAAAAATATATTTTTTTATTAACATTTAATATGCAACTTAGTATATAACACAAATAATATGAATTTTATTTGAAATGAATAGTGTCTGTGCACTATCATTAGTGAAAACGTTTCTCTGTTACAGTGCCGAAAATATAAGAAATATCATTTTGATGTTTTCTCTTTTCTTCACAAAAATTGAAAACGTTTTCTGTCACAGAAAAACAAAAACATTTTATTGAACACGATTTTTGTTTTCATTTTGCCTTTTTAGAAGTTGAGAACAGAAAACAAGAAATGTTTCTCGTTACTAAATGCAGTCCAAGTAGGTTTGAAATCTGAAAACTGTTTTCTGTTTTGATTATCTAAAAACTGTTATTGAGAACTATTTTCATACATGCAATCCAAACAAGGTCTAAAATCCACACACACCCTTCCTCTCTTGTTTGATTTTATATGCATTGCTCCAAATCTAATAAAGGCATGTTGATTCATGAGTTATACTAGATAATTTGATATAAACAATGGAAAGGGCCGGTTGGTTCTCATAACAATGTACGCTGCCCATCATCAAAATATTTCAACTTTTACAAACAGCATGCAAAATCCCACTTTGGCAAAACCTCTATATAGAAAGGGGTTTTCCGAATATGTCGATACAAGAGCAGCATCCCAATTATTCTTCAGAAATCTTGAAAAATGTATAGGATAAGATCAAGTTGTTGATGCCATCCATTCTAGGATACGTTTCAAAGTCTATATAAAAAAAGAACACCTACAAAGTTAATATATATGTTACGAGTCATGATATTCAGGTGGACTCATTAGGTCTATTTGTCAAAATAAAACAATCAAGACCATCAATGACCTTGATTGTGTCACCCAGGTATAACCAGTAACTGTGACTATCATTTTTTGTGTGCAATTGGTTGATAAAGCATGTTCCTGTTAAAACACATCGCTGATTACTCAATTGACAGATTCTGGAACTAAGAAAGCAAGCAAATTAATTTGGGAGTTCTTTCATGTTCCAAAGTAAAATGTAGTTTGTAAACTTTGCATAAATGCTTGTAACTTTATTTAATCCAATACCTTTCAAATCAACCATCATACTTTAATAAACTAGTGCTAGAAAATTCTGATTGAACTGATCAATACAGCCCATGACAAGGGAAAAGAAATATATTGAAGCAGGTAATTTTGAAGGGAAAAAACAAAAAAATATTTTAAAAAAGAGACTAATCGGTATTGGTCCCATTAAAGGTCTTGTGGTTCAATTGTATCTCATCTACATTCTAAAGTGGACTGTGAAAGTTCGAATCTCTAAAAGAACCAAAATGGGTGGCTCACGGGGTGTGGACTGCGGTGTGTGTGAATTTCTTAACGATAAAATAAAAAATAAAAAAATAAAAAATAAAAAAATGTATTGGTCCCTGTTGGCATTATTTACACAAAGAGGTTGCCCTTTGGTTACCACAACTCCATGCAATACTTGGGTTTTCACTTTTCACATTCCCCTCCAAAAGTAAGGCCTAAAAGGGTCCAAATTGAAGCCTTTATAGGCACTGAAAAGACCATATTTTTCTTCATCTTTTAATTTTAATTTTAATTTTATGTTTTAAAGGTCACAAAAGGCTAATTTATTGGAGTTTTGAAATTTTACTGGGGTCTGCCATGCTCACCTCCCACCTTGGCCGCAAATTCCACAATTTCCACCATTACCTATGCCCTAAGTCAACAATGCATCCGTCAGTAAATGATTTGGTCATACTCCTATTCTTTTGAACAAAAACTTACAGTATTATATCACATTTTGAAATATAAGGTGCATTGTTAAAAGCACAAAATATACATTGTTTAAGTTAAAAGATTAATCCGCGATAATTGTAATTAAATGCTTAATTAATTTCTATAAAATAGTGACAAAAAAATAAATAAAAGAATACCTACAATCAGAAACGGACTCAGAAAATTATGTGAGAGGGACAACAATGATTTTTTTAAGTATTTTTAAGGACAATAGTGATATTTTTTAGTTAATTGCACCTCACATACATGTAGGTCCATCCCTGTCTACAATCTAGGTACCTCTCATACTCTATTATTTTATTTTATTTTATTTATTTATTTTTTTTTTTGTGACATGCTCTCATAAACCATCTTATTTTGTAACAAATAAATTAAAATTGCACCTATGACAAATCCACCCAGAAAAGAAGAAGTTGTGCCACGCAGGCCTCCTATAGAATCTAGGTTTTTTCAAGGTTGTGTAGAAAAGTTTGAAGTGTTATAAAAGAGGGATAGAAGATTATAAAACATTGGAGGGTTTGTAAAATTTTGAACTGTAATTCTAAGAATATAGCAAGTTTTGTAGTGTATATCTAAGATATTTAGATGGGCAATCTTAGAAAGATTCTAGCCTTGATGGAGGAGGTGGATGATTATAAATAAGTTTGTTGTCATTTGTAAACCATAATCGCTAAGAATGAGAACCAAGCAGTAAGAGCGAGTGTAAAGTACAGGGTGAGAATGCAAGTAGATAAAGGTTGAATGTAAAAATTGCAAGCTAAAGACTCTGGATAGATTAATTAGTCTGAGGGTTAGACTTGTAAATAGTTCGTTGTTAAGTAGTACTCGCTAGAAATCAATATACTGAATTCTTCATTAATTGCTACTATCATTTTATCAATATCTTTACATATTTAATTGAGTGCTGCAACAAAGTTTAAAATTTTAAATTGGATCGAAAGACGGTTCCATTTATGAATTGGTGTGTTTTATTTATAAGTATGAGTTGGCGTGTTTTATCCATAAGTTTGAGTGACGAGTTCTGTTTAGTTATAGACTTATATTTTTTTTTAAGGAAAATGATATATATTTACTACTTGGGAAAAAAAAAGGAGGGAAATGGATACTCAATTTAAATGCATGTGTAGTAAAAAATAATAATAATAATAAAATAAAAATAAAATAAAAACTACACATGGGTAGAGTTAGGAGTTCTAAATAACAAAATGGTCGATTTTAAAAGTTTATTTTTCAATTTGATAGATTTAAATAAAATAATTACAAATAATTATTGTTAAAGTCTCAAATACCCTCTTTGTAATCTGATTTGCTTTTTTGGCTGTCAAGAAATATGCCTTTTTAGGTGTGCTTGTTTCCTTACTTAATAAAATTGATTAATTATCAATATATATATATATATATATATATATATATATATATATATCAAAAATAGTTTTCTCCATTTATCTTTTCAAATTGATTTCATGTATATTTTTAGTGAGACCAAATTTACAAGATTATAGAATAAAATAAAACAGCAAAATAAAATAAACGTACCAATAGAGACCTATATTATTTGCTAAGAACACAAGGAATATCACATGATCCCAACAAAATAATATAGCAAGAACTGAAAGAAGTATAGCATACAACAATAAGTCATACCTCTTGCACCATAATATTGGTACACCATAAAAGCTTATTACAATTTTTATGTTTCAAAGAGTGTTTTGTGTCTTTAATTAGACTTTACACCGTAATATCGGTACGTTTATTGGATATTCCAACAAAATAATATAGCAAGAACTGAAAGAAGTATAGCATACTACAATAAGTCATATGTCTTGCACCATAATATTGGTACACCATAAAATCTTATTACAATTTTTATGTTTCAAAGAGTGTTTTGTGTCTTTAATTAGACTTTACACCGTAATATCGGTACGTTTATTGGTAGGTTTATGTTGGTACGTTTATTTTATTTTGCTTTTTAATTTTATTCCATAATTTTATAAATTTGGTATTACTACAAATTATACATGAAATCACTTTGAAAAGATAATTCAGGAAAAAATTATACAAAAAAGCAAGTCATATTACAAAGAGAATATTTGAGACTTTAATAATAATTCTTGATGTATTTGTAATTATTTTGTTTAAATCAATCAAATTGAAAATAGACTTTTAAAATAGATTATTTTGTTATTTAGGACTCCTAATTTTACCTATATGTAGTTTTCCCAAAAAAAAATCCACCATTTGAGAGCTACTGAGCACCTAAACAATTCTTAATTCAAAAGTGTCAGAGAAAAAAAGAAAAAAAAAACCACCTTTAAAATCTTGCACGCCCAAAAGAAAAATAAAAATAAAAATAAAAATCAGATATTGTACCATTAGTCTTGTTTTTATATCACTCTCTTTTAACTCTAATTGATTTTTTTTTTTTTTTTTCCGTTAATTTTTAACTCTACTTTGTATTTGAAGACTAGCTCAAGATACTCCATTTAAATGACACATGAATTGGTCCAATATTTTTTTATTTTTTTATTTTAAGGGAGATTCAATGTCAACTCCTATCAAAATAAAAAACAGAAAAGGTCAATATTTATCTATACAAAAATATTCATGTTTGGCTACAAATTAAAGAAGCGACCCAGATCCTTTCCTGACAAAGATTAAATCCCAATTAAAGAATTGGAGTGGTTTAACAAGGGTATGGTTGATTTGTTGAGTGAGTTAATAAGGATATGCTCGTGTGTCACCCATAAAACAATTTTCTATAAAAACTCGTTTAGTTCAGTTTCTTAAACATTCGGTTATAAAAAAGTATTTTCAGATTCTTACAATCTCTGAAAATAATTTCCAGAGTGCTCGACTGTTTTCTGAGTGACAAACCAAGCAGACATGAATATATGAAGCATTGTTTTGGCAAGTAAAATAGAAACTTGACAATGTACCCCATGATGCACGTAATATCCCATTAAAAAAAACAGTTACATTTTAATGGGAAGAATAATTACACTTGACAACGTAAGACTCCTACAAGTTATACTTGCCACAATGTACTCGCAAATTCCTCCAAATCAGTAATCATGTTTAACACAGACTAGTAAAATCTACACACAGATGCCCCTCTGATATTATATGCATTGCTGCGAATCTAGTAAAGGACACCATGGAGAGCATGCTGATTCATGAGTTATACTTTGATATAAATTTATTTGCAACAATGGAAAGGGCCATACTTGAATCCAAAGAACATAATAATCGGTTGGTTCTCATGAGAATGTACACTGCCCATCTTCAAAATATTGCCAACTTTTACAAACGGCATGCAAAATCCCACTTTGGTAAACTATTTTTCGTCATTTCAGTAAGAATACGAATGATTTTATTGTGAGTATGCTGGTCAAGACCTCTATATAGAAAGGGGTTTCCCGAGGCTGTCCATACAAGAGCTGCATCCCAATCATTCTTCAGAAATCTTGAAAAATGTATAGGATAAGATAATGTTGTTGATGCCATCCATTTTAGGATCTGTTTCAAATTCAGGGTCTATATAAAAGAACACCTACAAATGCAGTTCATAAATATGTTACCAGTTGACAAGGCATGTTCTTGGAAAATGCAGACTACAACTGAAGAAAAGTTCTACTTACAGGCATGTCAATCTGCTCCCCAGGGAGTAATCGTTGCTCCTCAAAGCAAAAGCACTGTATTTTATTGAAGTAAACTGCAGCCTGAAAAGTGTCACAGCCTGATTACTCAATTGACAGATTCCGGAGCTAAGACAACAAGCAATCTTTGGGAGTTGTTTCATGTTCCAGAGTAAAATGCAGTGTGTAAACTTTGCATAAAGGCTATTGAAGTTCACCAAGTGCAATGCAATTCTACCTCCTCATTTCAGTAGAACTCGACCCTTGGCTTGTAATTGCATTAAATCCAATACCTTTTGTATCAACCATCACACTTTAACAAACTAGTGCTAGAAAATTCTGATTGAACTGATCAAACAGTTTTAATACTTGAAGCCAGTAAAGTTTGAAAAAAGAAATAACATTAAAAAGAGATTATTCAGTATTGGTCCTCATTAATCGAGGTTGTCCTTGGACTTCTGGTTTGACAGCCAAAGATTTTACCACTTCTCCAAGCAATGATTAAGTTGAAAAAAACAAAAAACTACACAATGAAAATCACGAGGTAATGATTTACAAAAAACAAAATATATATATATATATATATATTATAAGTAATTATTTACAAAATACCTCAAGAAGATGCCTATTTTGGGTCTCTCTTTAATTATATTTCCTCAGATCAGTTTTGTTAACCAAATTAATTGTGCCTCAGGCCCTCAGCCAACATTTTACCCATAGCATTAGCTTCTCACGGAGAACCTTCACCTTAAGAAGCCTGTCCAATGTAATGAAATGGGTTAAGGACACACGAGATCCTTAGACACTTTCTAGTATGATGAAAGAAGAAATGGAATTATCTACAAAAATAGAATGCACTTCATATTGGGATCCACCTCTAACTCCAAATTGGATGATTTAGTTAAAAGAATGAAACAAGTTTTGGATTTGTTATGAAAATAGAATGTGTTCCATATTGGGAGCCACCTTCAAATCCAAAGTGGATGGTTTAGTTACAAGAATAGTAGATTTTTTTTCAGAGGATCATTTTGAAATGTCATGCTTACAACCTATCAAGGGGCATTAGTTACTTGAAATCAATAACGTAATTCCACTTTATTGACTTGCCTATATGTAGTTCAGAAAAGATCACACCTCACGACTTGCCAAATGACAATCACACTTCAATTTATGCTAAAACTTGCTGTCTTCATCATTATGTAGAGGTGCATCAAATATTGGAATGGAGTGCAAGACCAATATTTGAGCTTGCCCTCTGCAGTTTCGAATATGCCATCAGAAATTGCAAGCCAAATGATATTCAACTTAGAGTTAATAGTACTTATTTAAATTAAATCGAATAGCAACTGTCTTCAAACAGTCCCAGTGAGTGCCACTGGTGCCCTGCTAAGAGCCTAAGACCTTCACCTTTTAACTCCCTAATTTCTCATGCAAACGGGAATTAATTATTCCATCAATTCCAACAACAATGGAGGCATTTTGTATTGGTTAATGCATTCTTCTGCCTAAGTGAATCAGCCTATTCTCAATTCTCGCATCAAACTTTAGTTGTATGCTATGGTTATCTAGGGGGAAAAAAAGGGAAGAAAAATTGGCATGTTGCTGCTTCAACAGGAAAAAAACTATGCCCTTGTAGATAGTAGACCTATTAATATGTCGTAGACGGTTGAATACCAACAATACATGGGCCATTATTGGGAGGTCTGCCCATGCTCACCTCTCAACCCAGCCACAAAGATTCCACCCCATCCTACCCTACCTATGCCATAAGAGAACAAATTTTCTGTTGGTAAGTGTTTTCAAAGTGTCTCACTCCTAACCGTCCTGATGGAGGATAGCCCCAGAACAGCTAAGCAAAGCTGAAGACTTTTCTCACAATTAATTAATTAAGCACCTTTAATCTGAACCATCAATCATGTTATGCATTCATTATCACTGATGCCAGGAGTATTATATTGCAGTTTACACATTTAGAACCATCTTAGACAGCTATTCTTTTCTTATTTGGTGCCTTATTGGAGCTACATCTACATTCTCAAGCTATCATAACATACATCGTGTTATGTACTGCTAAACTATAAAGATCAAAAGGAAAGCAATAGTTAGATTTGTAGATCACTTTGTCAAGAACTAAAGTAGTGAATGATAATACACCTTCTAAACAAAACTTTGGATATCACATTTCAAAAGATAAGGTGCATAATTAAAGCACAAAAATACATTAATTTAAAATTAATCAACTAGAATGTAATTAAACGCTTAATCAATTTCTAAAAATAGTGACAAGAAATACTATTTATTAAAGAGATCAAAAGGCTAAATCACATACCATATCATTGAGTAGCTGATGAAAAATTTGAGTAACCTTACCTTCATAGGGGTGACGTTATAAGTAGACATTCCAGTTATAGGAGTTTTACTTCGATTTTCAGCAGTATAAAATGCAAGGGCACTTTCTCCCGGCTTCACCTTTACCTACAATAGAATCAATGGTTTTAAAATACAAAGCCTATTATAACATAGGGCACTTGAGGGATTTGTATAAATAAATAAATGAATACATATATATTCAGAAAATAAAAGGGCTATAAGATGAACCAAACTACTCAGGCTTGGCTCATAATCTTCTCAACTAGATTCACTCGTGAGATAACCAGCCAAAGGCTAATCAATTTATTGAGATGAACTTGAGCTACGTTCAGTAAGCTAAAAGCACTCTAAACTAAATGAAAAACCAATCTGCTCGAACTTGAACCAAGGTTGTCTCCGTCAACGCTACCCTGAGACTATCTATGAGTTTGAGCTCATTAATTTTTCGAGCTGAGCTTAAGAAACCTGTGATTCACCTTGACTACATTCATTTACAGCTTTCTGTACATATATGTGTGTGCGTAGACTCACATACATATATATATATGTTAAAATAACATGTGTTACAGAAGAAAGAGGACCTCTCGTTGTGTGGGAATAAACTTCCAAGGCATTCCATCCGCCACGTCAGCATTGAACTGCACCACAATATCCCTGTATGAATAATACCAAGAATACATCAAAACAAGACATCTACAAGAAGAATCAACAAAATACATTACCTTAATCAAGGTCTTGTTAGATGTTCCTAAAAATGAAGGATAACCAAACTAATTATAATCTAGGATACAAAGAACCAATGCATACTCCTGAAACTAGTCACCTCATTCCGATTTGCTAGTTTCAAATGAGCTTAATTTTGAGCTTTACTGTACGATTATGATGGAGTGATATGGTTGATGTATCAGTTTTTGAGCAACTGCTCGAGACTGACTTCCATAGAGTACTCATGTCTTGTTTGTTTCAATTCACTTCTAAAAGCTCCCGATTGTACGTGAGCTAAGAAAGGAAGGGACGGTGATAACCCTCCCTTTATTTGGTAATTTCATGAGAGAAAAAGAAGGAAGAAAAGATGATGATCTATTTCCTTGATTAAGAATTTATAAGAAGAGAATATAAAAGAAAGAAAAGAACATTTTCTTTTGTTAAAATAAAGGATAAAATAGGAACTCACTTCTTATAGAACTATGAATAAAATGGGTAATTACTAACTCAGTTTACTTTCCCTCCATTTCTACCAATCTTTGGAGATGGGGGAAAAGAAAAATGGATAGGCCAGAGGTGTTCATTTCCTCCCATTTCTCTTGTTTTCTATCCATAAAGAACTCCCAAATGAGGGATTATTGGTCTAATCCCAACTTGTAACTTTTCTTCCCTCGAACCCCTCCACTTATTTCCACTTTCCCTCCTAAACAGAATTACTAAGCTCTTTGACTCATTGGAACATCAAAAGCACTTTTGTTCCACCTTACTGTAAGAGAATCATTCCAAAGAACAGAGATACGCTACCTTGAAAATCAGTAATTCATAAGTGCAAAAGTTTTCATTAAAATAATCACAAACAAACCGAAATAAATAGTTTCAATCTAGAGATTTAATTCGAATCAACGCTGGAGAATTCATGCTTTGAACAATGGAAACAATATAAAGCTGTCTCATTTAAGAAGTAAAATTTTAAAAACACACCTGGTGGTGATTGTTCCATCTTGAGCATGCCGAGATATCTTTTCTTCAACACTCTAAAAACAGTATGCTTTGGTTTTATTGCTCAGAAAAAGGTTGGGAAAATAAATTAACTACCAAACTGACAAAACTTATAGAGATTGCCTCACCTCACGGCGTTGAACAGTACCCCCATACCCAGTAGCTTGGCAGAACCTCCTATATAGAGGAACCGCCGCGTAAGTACACCCCACCATTGCGAATACCAATCCTGTTAGGTACAAAAGCATCTTCTGTGATTTCTTTTCAGTAGCTGCATGAGTAGCATATTGGTGCTGAAAACCGAGCAAAGAATATGACCTCCTCAAACACCAAGTTCTTGAAGATGAATATCGACCAGGCTTATCAAACAACCCCGTACTAAATTCACGTCTTATAATCCCATATCTAGTACTATTAATTCCAAGAGACTTACAATTCATCCATAGAGCTTCAGTTAAGTACCTACACCAAGAACAATAGTTTCATCTACATGTACCAATTTGGGGGACAAAAAAAGGCTCTTAATTTATAACATACACATACATATATTATATATACACATGGATAGTAAATAGAGACACATATCACACACACACACGAAAAAAAAAAAACTCTTAAATTATAACATACACATACATATACACATGGGTAGTAAATAGAGAGACACATATTATTGAAAGCATATTGAAATGGAAATTTCTATATTGACATTTTTGAATGTGCATCACCTTGATTTGTAAGGGACATGCTGTAGAGTTCTGTTGAAGTAAGGCAAAAGATGGGTTTTTCTAGAAATCCTGGATAATGACATATTCGGGTGTATCAAAGCACATACAATATCATCTAAAAAACAGGGAAAATCCACCCTGGTTCAATTGATTACGCATTCATCCTCTGTTTGGCGGCCGAGAATCTGGAAGGAAAAATATAAGAAAACGAAAGTTTAATTGAAACGCATTCCTTTGCTTTCCCGATGTAAGGAAGCGGAAAACAAATAGCGATTGAAAATTTCTAGCTTCCGAACTAAAACTAAACAGCAAAGAATCAAAAAAAATTGGAGGTGAAGTTTTCTCGGAAAACAAACAAGCGTGGAAAAAAAATTTAATTGAGAAATTATCAGCAGAAAAATGAGGATTGAAATGGAAACAGAGTACCAGTTGTTCGTGTTGTTGGTAGAACCTCAAAACCCTAGTTCTTCATTCGATGAGCTATGGAAGGAACGAGCTGGAGAGCGCAGACTATGGAAGGAGGAAATTTGTGTAACAGCTGCAAATTACAATTTTAGACACAGTCAATTCATTTGACTATAAAATTCCATTTAAAAGTAAATAAATCTGACCGAAATTTTTTATTTATCAAAAGGTATTTATAGAATTTCTACAATAAAAATTCCATTTAAAAGTAAATAAATCTGATAAAAAAAAAAAAAGTGAATAAAAGATCATTTGTTATATATATATATATGTTTGTGGGGCGCACAATCTTAAGTCATTCGTGATGACATTGTTGGCTTAGGGGAGAGAGCTCAATTCTTGTTTACATTGAAAGCCTTATTATGGCTCGTTTGGGAAGCTAAAATTGTGACCCTATAAATAGGCCATATGTATATACTGCTTGTAACGACACACTTGAATGAAAAAACTTTCCATTCTCCCTCTCTGTGAAAGATTTATTTATCTGAATATCACTCTATATATACATATATATTCATTACACGTTATTAGCACAAGACTCTGTCAACTGAGAAGAAAATTATATTTTTCTTTTATTTATATTAAACCGTTGTTGTTCAAATTTTATATATAATTAAAATTGTTGAGCCTGCAGTCTCGCAAATATTTATTTATTTATTTATTTATATTACAATATTTTTGTCCATTCTTTATAGAAAAGTAAATTGCTAAGCCCGAAGTTTCACAAATATTTGGTACTCTTTGCGAACCCGAAGTTTCTCAAAATAAATTTGTTGGCCTGAAATCTAAATGAATCTAAAATCCTTTGACCTGAAGTCATTTACACTGAGTACCCTTATAAACCTGAAGTTTTGCAAAACGTAGAAATATAAATTATATATGCCGTTTAGTGTAAACATATTTTGTCTTTTTGCCATTGTTTTATTTACTGAAAGTACATGATTAACTTTTTGACATTGCATAGTATATTTATTGACAATTCATATTATATTTGTTAAATATCTTGTTACAATCTTTTACATGTTACTTTATGTACATTACTATATACATAACTTGGCTCAGATTTGAGTACGTAAAAAAAATAATAATAATAAAATAATAAATTAAATTAATTACCACAAGATTCGAACCGTGTCTCTTTAATGCGCAAGTTGAGTTAACGAAACACCAAGCCACTTGTTCTGTTGTGATTATAAATTGACTATTATTTATATATATGGTATCACCACTATGCAAATCATATTATAATGACTGCAATGTTTTTATAATCTCAAATTGATTATTCTTTTTGTGAAATAATTCTAACTGTGTTATTTTATCATTTATAGTTCATAATGTCAAATCTTACCAAGCTTAAATTTGTGGCACTTGATATCTCGGGCAAAAACTACTTGTCATGAATCCTTGACGCCGAGATCCACTTAGATGCCATGAATCTCGGAGAGACAATTAAGGAAGAAAATAATGCGTCCCTACAGGACCGCGCGAAAACTATGATCTTTCTTCGCCATCACCTCCATGAGGAATTAAAAACAGAGTACCTCACGGTTAAGGATCCACTTACACTGTGGAAATATTTGAAAGAACGATATGAGCATCAGAAAACTGTGATCCTTCCAAAGTTCGCTATGACTGGATCCACCTACGATTGCAGGATCTTAAAAGTGTAAGTGAGTACAATTCAGCCTTGTTTAAAATCAGCTCACAATTAAAATTATGTGGAGAAAAAATTACTGAAGATGATATGTTAGAAAAAACATACTTCGTATTTCATGCCTCAAATGTGCTCCTGCAGCAGCAATATAGAGAGCGCAGATTTACCAAATATTCTGAGCTAATTTCTTGTTTGTTGGTGGCTAAACAGGATAATGAGTTTTTAATGAAAAACCACCAGTCCCATCCAACTGGATCTGTACCATTCCCAGAAGCGAATGTGTCCTCATTTCACAGCCATGGACGTGGACGTGGACGCGGACGCGGACGTAGTGGTGGTTGTGGATATGGTCGCAATAGAAATAATTATAATAACCGTGGTGGTCATAATTCCTCATTAACTCCCAGAAGGAACTCCACACCATCCCACTAGAAGTGGAATTCAAATGCGACCAAACAGGCAAAAGGAAAAGCTTTGCAAAACAAAGCTCCTGAGATATATGATAACAAGCTTTGCTATATATATGGAATGAAAGGTCATTGATCGTGTACCTGTTGTACGCCCAAACATTTAGCTAATCTTTACCGTGCCTCAATGAATGATAGGGGAAAAGGAAAGGAAATTGAAATGAATTTTGTGGATGACGACTTACTGTTGATATTACTCACCTTGATGTTTTTGACTTCTTTGTTGATCGTAATGGTAGTATTGATCATTTGATTGGTGATGGAAATGTCCATACCAATTAATGTGTCATTCTCTAGCATGTTATCCCTTGTGTGTTTTATCTTATCTATATCAGTATGTTTAAATTTTCATTGTATCAATATGTCTCTATCTAGATTGTACCAACATGTTTTTATTTTGGCTATCTTGTATGTAAATCTAGTTTGTATTTCAAGTTTGAAGTAATGAAATATATATTCTTGTATGCAACAACGCACATTATACTCCGAGATAGAAAATATTTTTCGCGTAAAACATTAGTTGAAGCTCATGTCAATACAATATCAGGTCCAGCAGATCTAATTGAAGGCTCCGGAAGAGCTATCATTGTGTTACCATGTGGAATAAAATTGAATATTGATGATGATCTATACTCTACCAAATCCAAAAGAAATTTATTAAGTTTTAAAGATATACGTCTCAACAGTTATCATATTGAGACTATAAATGAGAGGAGCGTTGAATATCTCTGTATTACATGCCAAAAGCATGTATTAGAAAAACTCCATGCTTTATCTTCTGGATTATATTATACAAATATAAGAGTAATTGAGTCACATGCAGTGACGCACCAGAAATGCTCTGACCCAAATATTTTTATACTTTGGCATGATCGCCTTGGTCATCCTGGGTCAACAATGATGCGCCGAATCATTGAAAATTCACATGGTCATCCACTAAAGAACCAGAAGATTTTTTTAGCAAATGATTATCCATATACCGCTTGCTCACAAGGTAAATTAATAGTCATACCATCACCTTCTAAGGTCGTCGTTGAATGCCCACCATTTTTATAACAAATTCAAGGGGATATATGTGGACTAATTCATCCAGCATGTGGACCATTTCGGTATTTTATGGTCTTAATTGATGCATCAACACGGTGATCACACGTAAGTTTACTTTCTACTCGTAATGTTGCATTTGCTCGACTCTTTGCTCAAATAATCCGATTATGAGTACAATTTTCGGATTATCCAATCCAGACTGTCCGTCTTCATAATGCCTGGGAATTCACATCTCAATCATTTGATGACTATTGCATATCAATTGGCGTTCTTATTGAACATCCTGTTGCACATACTCACACCCAAAATGGACTTGCAGAATCTTTTATCAAACGTCTTCAGTTAATAGTTAAACCATTACTCATGAGAACTAAACTACCTGTTTCTGCTTGGGGACATGCGATATTACATGCAGCATTACTACTTCGCATTAGACCAACTGCATATCATAGTTTTTCACCACTACAACTTGTGATTGGTCAATAACCAAGTATCTCTCACTTACGAGTTTTCAGTTGCGCTGTATATGTTCCCATTGTACCCCCACAACGCACCAAAATGGGTCATCAACGACGACTTGGTATTTATATAGGTTTTGATTTTCCATCTATTATTAGATATCTTGAATCTATGACAGGTAATGTTTTTAAGGCGCGGTTTGCTGACTGTCATTTCGATGAGACTGTTTTCCCTCCATTAGGGGGGGAAAGAAAAAGCCAGAAGAGCAACGAGTTATTAATTGGAAAGTCTCGACTTTATCTCATTTCGATCATTTCACAAATCAATATGAACTAGAAGTTCAAAGGATCATTCATTTGCAAAGTATTGCAAATCAATTATCCGATGCATTCACTGACACAAAGAAAGTGATGAAATCACATATATCAGCTGTAAACATTCCAGCAAGAATTGATGTCCCTGTAGGACAGTCTGTCAGTGTTATTGCAAATGCATCTAAGACACACCAGAAGCGTGGTAGACCAGTCGGTGCAAAAGACACTGTTCCCCGGAAGAGAAAAGTACAAGAGAAATCAAATAAAGAAATTGGCGCTCCTGAAGAGGTCACACTTGCAAAAGAAACAACGAAAATGATTGATCAATCTAATTTCTATAAGCAAGTAGCTCCAGAAGATATACATGCCCCGGAAGTGGCACAAGCCCCTGAAGAGGCACTGATACCTAAATATAATGAGATCTTAATAAACTATAAAGAATTGTGGGATACAAAAACAGTTATTATTAGCGATATATTCTCCTTTGCAGTTGCTCTTGATATTGCAGGTGATAATGATGATCCTGAACCTCAATACGTCGAAGAGTGTCGATGTAGAAATGATTGGCTAAAATGAAAAGAAACAATACAAGCAGAGCTAAACTGATTAGTAAAACGTGAAGTATATGGACCTGTAATCCAGACGCCTGAAGATGTCATACCTGTAGGGTACAAATGGGTATTTGTAAGAAAATATAATGAGAAAAATGAAATTGTAAGATACTGTGATAACCTGAATTTTTTTTTAGATTTTAATTTATAATTTTATTTTATTATTATTACTCATATTATTTTAAATTTTTTATATAGTTGTGTGTGTGTGTAATTTGATAGGTTGTTTTTGGTTTTTAATGCATTATATATATATATATATATATATTTTGTATATATAATATACATGGCATCAGTTAGCAATTGAAATAAACGAAGCTGCGAAATGGGAATTCAAATGGTGAAAAGTGTTATTTTTTTGGGCCCACATGAAAGTTATTTAAAGAGAATGGAATTTGGTTTTTCGTTTACATATTTATATATATGTGTGTGTGTGTGTGTGTGTGGTCAGATGGAATTTGGTTTTGTCTCATGTTTATGTAATATATATATATATATATATATATATATATATATATATATATATATATAATACATCATGTTGAAGAAAGGGAG